TAACATTTAAGGAAACTGTTCTTAATATGATTAATTCTCTAATAAATTGTATGGATTTCATTTCATATATGTATTACAATTAGAATTTTGATATGGTGGTAATTGATTGATTGATTTGCTAGGATGCGACCGACTGAGACGATCGACTGGGTGTCGAGCGTGCATTGTGTTTGGTCGACCGAGGTGTTCGGTCGAATGACGAACTTGTCTGTCACGACAAAAGTAGGTCAGTTGTCTAATCGAGATCAATGAGTTTTTGTCTGTGCTTTGGTCGATCGGTTGGTCGACTGATGAATCGATTTATTTTGTCGGGTGAACCATGGCTCACTTGTCGTTTTGGCTCAAGTCTTATGAGGCCTATGTCTCATCTATATAGTTGGTTCATTGCCTTAATGGGTTTCTGTTTGTGTTTCGGTCGATCGGTTGATCGACTGATGAATCAATTTATTTTGTCGGGTGAACCGTGGCTCACTTGTCGTTTTGGCTCAAGTCTTATGGGGCCTATGTCTCATCTATATAGTTGGTTCATTGCCTCATCAAGATATCACTATTAGCAAGGTCTTAGACAGATCTTATCGTTGCCTGTGTCAGATATCCGATGAGATTTGTTGCTATGATGAATTACACCTCGTCATTGGTGGATCTTGTCTCCATCAGACTAGGGACCATCTCCTGAGCTTTGGCTTGTCCTGGATTTAGAATCGTGACTTTATCTGTTTGGTGGTGACTTCTCAACAGACTTTACACCATTGAGCGAGGTTTTTTACTTTTGGTTGTTCGTTCTCTCTAAGATTCATATTGATAGTTCTACTATATATATATATATATCTCAACAGACTTTACACCCTTGGGCGAGGTTTTTTACTTTTGGTTGTTCGTTCTCTTTGAGATTCATATTGATAGTTCTACTATATATATATAGTGTATATATATAATTTTTTTTCATTGGTTGAATGAAAAATATTGATGAAATAATATGGCTATCAAAAGTAAATTGCATTTTCCCGCCTCACATCCTCCACCGCCGGCTATTGGCTGTCTATAGGACAATTTTCGTATATAAATAACATAAAATCATAATATATTGATATAATTTTATACATATTTTTTTTATTTACTTACTTAAAGCTCACATTTTTTAAATTACATAAAAAAAATATTATTTTACTTAAAATTAATTTTTTTTTCATACATATACTTTAATGTAGTTAGGATACTAAAATGATATTTATATTAATATAAAAGTTTAATTGAATAAAAATACTTTTATTAAGTTTTTTTGTCATCACCAAGGATTAAACTCGACGGATATGAGAAAAACTCCTTTAATTTATTTTTGAGGCATTTACATACATACCACACAATTTCTATGTATTTATACAGCTAACACATAAACTCTACATTTTACATTTATGCCACCCAAAAATTTCATAACACATCAAATATATAATTTATTAATTTTTTTAAAAGTCAAATACATCTTTCCATTCATATAATAGTTGGCTTATGTGTAAAAACTAGAAGTTTAGGTGTAACATATAAGTAAATATAAATGAATTAATTATTTACTTGTGAGTAAAATTTCCTTTATTTTTTTATTTGATGAAAATTATAATTTAAGAATATAAAATGGCTAGAATATTGTGTTTATTTAAAATAATAATAATAATAATAATAATAATAATAATAATAATAATAATAATAATAATAATAATAATAATAAAATGATATAAAATTAACATGTTAATTATTAAAAATAAATTAAATATTACTTAAATTTTAACAAACTTAAAACTAACTATTAATAAAAAAAAAAGTAAATAAATAAATTATTTTAATGAAGGTCGTTATCAAAGTTTAGCTCCGATAAATTTTTAAAATGCTCACGTTTAATTAATTAGACCATAGATGTAAGGGCTAATAACACTATGACTGTCAAAAAAGCTCGTTGTTCGCGAACAGTTCGTGTTCGGGAGTTTGTGTTCGATTTGTTCGATAAGTAAACGAGACGAACGTGAACAAATTTTTTTTTCGTTCGGTTAGTTAAACGAACCAAACGAACCAGAGCCAAACATGAACAATGATGCGTTCGTTCGTGTTCGGATAGTTATTGTTCGAAATATAAAATAATTTTAAATATTTATATATAAAAAAATTATGATATTTTAAAAAATTAAATTTTATATATTATAATATGTAATAAATTAATAATAATAATATATTAATATTAGTTGTATATCAATAAATTATAATATATTTCATTTGTAACTTGTTTTTAATAATTTGTAATAATATAGTTGAAGAAATATCTGTTTTTTAATAGAGGTATGTTAGCTATTTTTTTGGTATTTTGAGAATTAATAATTAAATTTATTATCATTCTAAGAATTTACTCAATTCAAACAAGACAAAAAAATTTGAAATGTTCGGCTCGTTCGTTAATAAATGAACACGAACAGTGCATTCACAAACATTTTCAAACATGACCTTATTTCAAACAAACTAAATTTTAAATTAACCGAACACGAACACAAACTCTGCTCGTTCGTGTTCGATTCGTTTACGATCCTAAATAATACCGCTTAGATATCTTGAGGCAGCACACAGAATGCGAAACAATCTGAATCCACTCGAAATCAATATCTAATCATATGTATATATATTTTTATACCACTTGGACTCATCATTAAGAATAATATATTTTGGTTTGATAAATTTATAAATTTAAATTTATTTTGAGAAAATAAATATTTAAAAGTTATTAATTGTTTAAATATACAAGATTTATTTTAAAATAAATTTATACATTTAAAACTTATCTTTAATAAATTTTAATCATAATAATATAATCAAATCAATTTTGTAATAAAATTATATATTCTCAAAAAAAAAAAAAAAAGATTTGAGAAGATTTCATAAAGCCACAAAATTTATTTAAAATGAATTACTTAATCTCAAAAAAAAATTATAAATTTAATTTTCATTACCATTAAAAAGATATTTCAACCTAATTCTTTTGCCCCCATTTTTCTCCTTCTAGATTTGACTTCTGTAATTATTTATCATCAATAGGGCTGTCAAAACGGTTCGTTGTTCGCAAACCGCTGTCAAAATGGCTCATTGTTCGCGAACATCTCGTGTTCGGCTCATTAAGAAGCTCGTGTTCGGCTCGTTAATTTCGTTCGATAAGTTAACGAGCCGAACACGAACTAAGATGTGTTCGTTCGTGTTCGGCTCGTTTTGGCTCGAAATACTACTCATCAAGTTTATATATATATATATATATATATTAAGTAGTATTTAATTGACTACAAGACTACAAATATTTATAATCAATTAAAATATTGATTAAGAAAATAGAATAAAAATTATTAAAATAGATTCAAATGATATTTTGATATAAATAATAATTTTTAAATCTTGCTCAAATTCTTATTGTCTTATGGCTACATGATTCGGGGTGTTTAAAAAAATCTTTT